TTTTAATTGCATGCAAAATGTACACATCCATTTTAATACTTTGTATTAGAAAATAAAGGCGATTGCGACAGTTTTTTATTATTCACAGTTTACTCTGTGCTATGCTTTGGTAATTTGCCATACTAAAAGAGTTAAAATACTCACAGCCGTAGCTCTTCAAATGTTTTTACTGAGTAGAGTGGAGAGCTGGGATCCTTTTGCAAGACTTCCACTAGGTGACTGGATTCTACTAAGGACTGACGGATTAACTTGTTTAAGAGTGAATTAGCTGCCAAATCCACTAGAAAAGTAAAAATTAAAAAGGGGGACATCAAGTCTCCTGAGGACATTTAATAAATTGCTATCATTCAGTGGTTGCATATCAAGTAACTGCACCTGCTTTCATCTTTCTTCTAAAAGGAGGTTTTAGAAAGAATAACATAGCACTGAGAATCTCTTCCTTCATGAAGATCTAGTTTCTTATGCTCTACAACCACACCAACCTCTAAACTCAAACTGGCAATCGTTGTCTCCACCATATCTAATTCTTCCTTCTAGCTGGAAATTCTGAATTCACTTCCTGTATCTTCTATTTCAACTTTCTCTTAAGAAATATGTCCTCTCCTAATTCAGTACTTCTTCTGACATTCATTCTTCATAAACAAAATAGAAACAAGGTTGTTTTCTCAGATACTAGTCATTCACATTGTAAAAGTGATGATAAACTGAAAAGGGATGCTAGTGGATATGTGCAAATGAATTTATCTCCTACCTATATCATCTTCATCATCATCTTCGAGGTTATTAAGAGAATCATCTAAAAGGATAGAAGAGAAACAACAAATGTAGACAAATGCTGAACAGAAATGTAGAGTATACTATTCCAATTTCCCCAACTCTCCAGTGCACACCAACAGACTCATCTGATCAAAGAGTGGATAAAACTGATTGGGAATGTAGTAGAGGGTCTTAAATGTTAAATTAAGGTAGTCAAAAATATTTCAGGTGGCAGGGACTTGATGACAGCAATGACTTTGAACTAACTGAGGCTAGTCAGCTTTACCTTAGCAACACTCACCTATGTTTGGGACTGTGGTACTCTTAATACCCAGAAGCCTCTTCCGGGGGTGGATGAGATTTGAAAACTATTGAAAGACACAAATTTTAGCCAATATTAGGAAGCAAGCCATCAAGCTGCCCAGCGCTCCTCCACAACAAAAAATGGAAGTAGCTCAGGGAAGCCTCCCTCCCGCCCCCAGCAACGGTTTCCTTTGCAATGTTAGGTATCAATGGATTCCTTTCAAGAATAGGTCTCCTGTATGAATTACTTAATATCGGAGACTTTCTGTAGTCTCTGCACATGAAGCTCCTGTTTGGCCTCTAGTATAAATATGGGCAGTATGAGGTGGGGGCGCCGGGGCACCGACAAGAGGATGATGACTAAAAAAGCACGTTGGTAAATATGATGGCCTGCTGAACTGTAAAATTACACAACACTCATCAGACTACGTATCAGCTGCTTTCCTTCCCTGGATTTCCAAGTGTCTTCATTTTGCCCCATTCAAACTGAAGGTCTTATCTCTGAGTCGTTTTCTGTGGCCTCCTCCAAACCCACCCCACACCTCCCCTCCACAATTTGACACCCCACTTCAAACGCGAGCAGGGGCTTCCCGCCTTTCCCCTGGAGATTTCCCTCTGCTAGTCCCGGTTGTCGCCCCCGCCCCTTTCCCTCCCCTGCTCGGTGGCGGTTACTTGGCTGTTCAGCCGCTCGCCGTCCGCCGCCCCTGCGTCGCCAGCCCAAAGTAACGACGCCATAGCTGCGATCGCTGCTCCCGCCCCCAGCACGTGCTTCCAGCCGGGCTCGAGGCAGGGCTCAGCCCCACTGCGTGGCCAATGGGCTTGCTCCAGGGGCAGGTCTAAACCCACGACCACCCGCTGCGCGGCGCGCAGGCGCAGTGGCTCAGACGAGGAGGGGCTGGGAGGGAAGAGGAGTCGCGGGAGACACAAGCCGGAAGATTCCAAGAGCTGTACTGATCCGCAAGGACTGGGATCCGCGCCAAGTGTTGGAAAACAGGGAGAAAGCACTATTGTAGTAAATGCTGGCCAGCTGCTGACCTTTGCAGAGTCAACCAACAGCTGGGGACCCTAGGTGGCAGCGGCGTTTCTACTGATCTGAGAGTTCTACATCTCCTACCCGACCTCGAGGTATCCAGACAGTAGTACTCCCGGAGGTGAGGCTGTAAGTCACAGCGGGCTTCAGCCTTTCTGCCTGTGATTTACCCCTGACATTTCCGCCTGCACGTTAAAAGGTGTAAGAAAATCTAGCGAATCGCATAGGAAAGTCAAGGGACAAAATGGGTTTGATCTGATAAAAGCACTGAATGCGCAAGTTGCGGAAAGAGGGCAGAATTCAGATGCTAACTACTGCTCCTGCCCTAGGTACCTGTGCTGTTTCCTCACAGCAGCTTTACTTTTTATTCTGAGATGTCCTTTGCTAAAGTGACCCCGGGAAAACTTTCAGAGTATCCGTTGCATGTATTTGCACAATCCTGGTACTGATGACTGCTATATTTGGGCAAAAAGACTCAGATTTTTTCCACTTTTCTAATTAGAATTTTGAAAGTTGAATTAGCATCTCTGGAATTGGGAACCAAATCACAAAACCCCACAAACTGTCATAATGCTCTCTCCGTGGTGCTGAAGCAACACTCCCCATCCTGTTCCGTCCCTCAGGGCTCTTCAGTATTTTGTTTTAAGATTATAACATTTCATTTTTAGCCTTTACTTTTGGATTCTAATAGTAAACGTTTCTGTCTGAATAGTTACTTTTTACTATTAAATTAGGTACAAAACCAGAACAGGACCTTTAATTTTGCTGTGTTTAGCAGACATTTGAAAGTTAGCACTTCTCTATTTATTATTTTAGCACAGCATTAGACATTCTCTTTGTTTTTGTACCACCACAGGCTCCAGATCCTGTCCGGTCGGGGCAGAGAAACCTGTGGCTGACCTGGAGACCCTCCGGGTAGCACATTGGGCTTCAAGCCTGCATCCCGTCTCGAACTACACTTCCCACAATCCCATGCGGTGCCTCCCGTGAGGCCTCGCGAGCGCGAGCGCCAGCAACAACTTCCTCCTTCTCAGAAGGCCGCGCGGCCGGCGACCCGCCAGGTAAGTGTGGTCCTCCTGAGGAATGTGCAGGTGATTTGTAGCTGAGTGGTTATTTCCCCCATCCTCCCTTTCCATACTTTCATCTTGTTTTCAAGAAAGCCCTGGTAAATGGAAGTGGGACCTCATTTAGGACCGTTTTGCTTTTGTGCTTGGTACTTCTGGAAGAAAGTCGCATTAATTCGACCCAGCAGCTTAAAGAGTCCTTGGACTGGAGTTAAATCTCTGCTGCACAAAAATTGTGCTCAAATACCGAAAACGTAGAAATCGGGAGCCCAGTAGTCTGTGGAAGGGGAAGGGGGTGTGGCAGCAATTTTCAGATTATTTGGAGGATTGCTTTACACGCCGAAATTGCTTTTCCAGTATTAGTGATCATCATCTTTTTTGGTTGATTTTATTGGTACATTTTAGATATGCGCAACGATCACGTCTTACAGGGAATTTGAACCGAACATAATTATTAACGTGTCTCTTAATCTTTTATTAGGAATGCTTTTGATACTGTTCCTCTCATTCCTTGTTTTTTGAGATTGACTCGCTTTTATTAAACTTCATCTGGTAATGCTGTTTTATAGCAGATGCTTATCGCACACCAGTTCCCCTTTCGTGGCAATTTGGTGGCCCCCTCTGTGTGTCATATGATGTCTGAAAACTACTTGCACCTCACCCTGAGACAAATATGGTGTGCTGGAGGAAGCACTGCACTGGGTCTTGGCCTTAAGTTCTTTTCATCGAAAATTTGACTCTCTAACCTCACCCCTGAACCCAATTCTTCAGCTAATAATGGGGTTAAACTAGGATAACCTACGGTTAACTTTGGGAACTTTTCGATTTTGGTAATTTGAACTTTGAGACCCAGAACAGAGAAATTCACTTACTGTAAAAAATACCATGTAATTAAAAAAAAGTTGTAAAAAAATGACCCAGAGTTGTTTTAATTTTCCTGTGCTCTGTTTGTAAAAGCGGATGGATTAGTCCATCCATATTAGATTAATATGCATCTTTCCCTTAGTTTCCATAGTATTCTACTGACTTTTGAGGAGACATCTACTGTTGGTGGGTAGGCTGCAACTTTTATGTATCTAAAGTAAATATATCCTACACTTCTCTGAGTCAGATTACTTCTCTTCCTGATAAATGCCTAACAAACTAAGTGAATACATTATGTAGACTCAAAATATACATTATGTATTTTAGCAATGGTAATGGTCAGTTCATGTTCTACAATTTTTTTTAACAAGGAAACGATTTCTGCTGTCCCCTTACAGGCTTCAGTTAAAAATGTTAACTTCCACATTTTAGATATTCTTCAAATTAGAACTGTCAAGAATGTAAGTTGCAGAGTAAGATGATCAGAATTAGTATTTTGATCTGTACCCAGTTTGGATTAATTTTGGTGTTTATGTTTGCATAAAATTATGATTCCAAATGTTAGTATTCTGAAATTATGCTATAGGGCAGGAATAACGTTTCAGTGACAGGTATAATTCCAAAGAAAATCTGTAGCAAACTCTAGAAAGCATGGTATGCTAGAATTGACAACTGGAGTTTATCACTAAATTGTCTGTGAAACAAAACTTGGGTTAGGATTCCGTGTCATAGATTATTTTGAGGCATGTATTAAAAAGCATTTTACATAGTTGCCTGGATTTCCTACTTTAATAATGGAAGTTTATGCCATGATCTTTCTTTCCTTTAAGACTGTATGGAAAAGGTTTTTATTCCTTCCCTTTGGCTCTCATTATTTAGTTGATGAGAGTGCAATGGAGAGTATGACCAGAAGCAGAATCACAGCCTAGGTTTGAGATCATCTTACTTTGGGAAGCATTTGCTAAAATTAGGGGTCAAACTCATGAGTTTCCAAAATTCTTTAATAGATAAACTTAATGCCCACCAGCTTTAAACCACATTAAAACACAGTACTCACATTGGCCCAAAGTGAGGCAGCTGTCAAATACAAAACAGTGCTTACTAATTTGACAACAGAGGAAGACCAGGTAAGTTTTTCCTGTAATTTCTGTATTTGAGAGCGGTAATTTGGAAGTTAAGTTGTATCTGATAGTTATATGATACACAGCAGGGGAAGACTAATGGTGGGTGAAGTCCTTATTCTATATAATGTTCTGTGAACTTTTTAAGGCAGTTGTTTTTATTTAAAAGGAAAGGGATGAAGAACCAGGATATCCTAACTAATCCTGTAGCAGGAGAGGCAGGTTTTTTAAAAAGACTTAAGAAGAAAAAGGGAAGGGAAGCTTCCTGGGCATGTCACCATTTGCAAGGTCACAACGAACACCCCAACGAATGGCGTATCTTTTTTTCTCAGTTGGTACTATGTAATTGTTTGGAACATAGACATGTTGAGGCTTAGGCTGGGGTTCTGGTCGGGAAAGAAACCTTTCTCGGATACTCCACCGTACCTCCTTCCTATGATCTTCACCAGGCAACCGCATTGAGTCCCAGTCCCTTTTATATTCAAAATATCGGGCTACCCGGTCTGTCTTGCCCCGATTTCGGCTTAATTGGTCCAGCCGTGGAAGAATAAAGGACTTGGGTCTGCTGGCAACAATCAGGTCTTGTTCATAAGCTGGAGGGCCCGATCCCTCTCCTCGTAGATAACAAATGAACTGATCTTGTGAAATCCCTTGGTATTCATGTGGCTGATCAAATTTTTGCAGACTATCCACTGGGGACTCCCTGTCTTCCTGGAACTGCAGATTCATCAGCCTTTGTTTTAAGTCCCAGAGATCTGCATCACTTTCTGTGCCACACTCTGATTCACTGATAATTGACTCATCTGTCACTAATACTTCCCCATCTGGCTTTCTGCGCAGCACCTTTCTCTTCATCACTGGCTTTCGGAGTCTTTGAGAGGCCTCTGAGACTGTTTGTGAAGTGACAGAGCTTTCTACATGTGGGTACTGCAGTTGCACAGGAAGAGCAGGTTGCTTCCCTGGGGCTACTGAAGCTTTACTGTAGGGATCATACTGGATAGATTGGGCCTCTCTCCTGACATCTCCCTCACCCTGCCCTGCACAGATATGGGCAAAAGCTGTGGCAGCTGCTAACATTCTTTCTTCTGGGTCCATGTTGGCCCATTTTTGTCTATCAGGTCCTGTGAGTTGCTCCATTGCTTCCCCAACACTGTAAGACTGTCTGCAAGAGAGAACACTGGTCAGTTTTCTGATAAATTTCTAATGCAAACTGGTCATTCTGTTTCAGTTTCAGAGTCAAATGGTATAAGAATGGCTAAGGCAATTATTAACTCAGTAATTATAGTAAGATGAGTACAGGGTAGTATTGGGACAGTTTAAGAGGGTCGTCAATTCAGCTCTGTGCAGTCTACTACCTGCTTTATTTCTACTCTCATTCACTACCACTTTTTATTGCCTTGCTGCATTTAGTAGCTCCTATGACATGATAGATGAGTTCTGGTATAATAAAAGCCTAAGACTACACGTTATGGGATGTGCTCCTTAGTGTATATTATGTAATATAGTTAGAGGGTACTTTATGTACCTGGCATTATTGTATGTGCTTAACATTTATTAAGTCATGTAATCATCACAACTGTGGGATTAGTTCCTTTCCACAGATAAGTAACAAGAGGCACAGAGAACTTAAATACCTTGTCCAGAGTTATAGATAGTAGTAGAGCTGGATTCCAACTCAGGCAGTCTGATTTCAGATTGAGACCTTGCTTTTAACTGTAGCTGTAACCGTGACACAATCTCAACAACCATCAAAACAGCACTATTGTGGCAGCATACTTAAATATGTAGGCATGCATATGCTCCCTGTGCTTTAGTAATTTTAACACACCTTAAGTTGCCAAGATAAATCTGTTCATTCTCGTAGTCTGCCATAATTTTAAATTCAAATCAACCAGCCAAATAGCCAGTGTTTTATACTAGATTTAAGATAGGTATCTATTGCCTACTCTCTTATGTGTTTCTACTGTTTTAAGCAAAGGTTTTTCCCCTCTCTGGCTAAGTTTCAATCTCAAAGGCAATTTTGTATGATTTGTCTGTAATTTTCTGTATCGTGTACATTCTTTATGTACTATAAAGGAGTTTGTTACAAACCTGTTCTGAATCTTAGAGATAATCATAGTGACCCAGCTGATCTAGTACATGTAGAATTACAACTTTTGTTCACAGTTGCATCAAATTCCAGTGTGTGGACATACCATAATTTACTTAGCCACTTCCTTACTGATCTAATTTAGGTTTATTGTCACTTGTTAAAAACCAGTGACAATCTTATAAGTTTTATATACCTGTGCAAACATACTGTGTAGATGTTCAATTTTGATAGCTGTTGCTAAAATGCTCACCTCTAAAGTTGTACCAATAATATATTAATAGCGCTTGGTTCTATATACTTCCTCCCTAAAGTGCTGTACTATTGAATTTGCTCATCTTTGCAGTTCGTGAAAAATTGTTCTTACATACTTTCCATTTATTTAACTTGAGTAAAACTGAGCACCTTTTTATTTGTAAGCTTTTTTCTCTTTTGTGAAATGATTGATTTTCTCCATGTACCTCTCAGGTTGTTGGACTTTTTCTCTTTACTAATGTTTTTGTTAAAAACTGATCATATATTCATTATATATATATATAAAATAATTTGCCATCATTCATTTTTTTTACCTCTCAGTTTATGTTTAGCTGGTAGTAGTTTTTATTTTTAGGTATTCACATTTTTTTGTTTTCTGCAGTGTCTAAGATTCTAAAGTCCTCTACTTAGAAAAGCCTTTTCCACTGCAACATTATAAGAAAGAGTCTATTTTAAGCAAGCCATCATTTTCTTTTGGTTCTTTCATAGTTTCACTTTTCACATGTAAAGGTTTAAATTGCAGATACAGAAAATCAAACGGCCAAAAACTTAATGAACTATCTAGACTTATAACATAGCCTTAGAGTAGATGTGAAGATATCTTCTATAACTAAGTAACCATTAATTACAGATTGCCTAGACTGTCGAATTTTAAGGATATGGTATAGCTGTCCCCAGATTACTGTAATACTGTATACCAGGATTACAACTTGGATATCTAAATTGCATCATTAAACTGACTTTTGTAACCATTAATGTACAAAATCTTGTCAGAACAATAATTTGGCTTAAAAAGATGAATAGGGCGTAATTACCTTTTTTCTGTCATCAAAACTGCTTAAAATAAAATCTTGTCTCTAGGTTCTGCTTCCAATGTGAACTATAAACACTGATAATATTTCTTCAGTTAGGTTAGCTTCTGTAGGATCACCTTTAAAATAGAATATTAGATGACAGAACATAGATGTAGAATATCTGATACTGAAAAGCAGTAGAAACTCAGTTATAAGCAGTAGAAACTCAGTTATATAACCATAGAAAGAACTCATGATTAGAAAATCTGAGTAAATATAATGAGAAATAAAAAAAAATATAAGGAAAATATCAGTAGCACAAGTCCTCAATCCATCTGTTAATGAAGACTAATAGAATGAAATCTACAGGTATTTCCCCAAAATTTTTAAAAGAAATAGTAAAAAGAAACTTTTAATAGGTAAATATTTTTTCTTTTCCCCTATAAATTGGTCGGATAGGATGTAAAAGAATACTATCTGTGGATGATCAATCCATAATAATTAGCTGTTGTTTCTATCTTTGGGCAAACACAAGTCTATACCCCTCAGCATCAAATTAAATCTCACATGCCATTTGAATATGACAGTGCTACTAGCAAAGAAACTAGCACTGAAATTGTATTCCTTTGCTTTCTTTTCAAGTAGGGTGGAACTGTATTCCTGGGGCTGTCATACCATGGCTGAAACAGACACTGACAGAAACCAGATTGAGAAACTCCTAAAAAGAATACAAGAACTGGAGCAGGAAGTACAAAGACTTAAAAAAGAACAGCCCAACAACATCAAAGACCCAAACATTAAAGAAAATTCTTCAGGATCTGCAAAAGCTAAGCGTGCATTTGATTTCAGTGCCCACAGCCGAAGACATGTAGCCCTAAGGATAGCCTACCTGGGCTGGGGATACCAGGGCTTTGCTAGTCAGGAAAATACAGACAATACCATTGAAGAGAAACTATTTGAGGCTCTGACCAAGACTCGACTGATAGAAAGCAGACAGACATCCAACTATCACAGGTGTGGGCGAACGGACAAAGGAGTTAGTGCCTTTGGTCAGGTAAGGATCTTTATACTGTTTCTCAAAGCAGGCAGTACCAAGATACCCAAGTGTACATACTGAGTACTGAAATTATTTGTATTGTGTCTCTTAAAACTCATCATCTTTCCCTAATTCCACAGGTGATTTCTCTTGACCTTCGGTCTCAGTTTCCAAGGAACAAAGATTCAGAAGATCTTAATTTAAAAGATGGAGTCAATGATGATGCCAAAGAGATCCGTTATACCCACATTCTCAATCGGGTACTTCCTCCAGACATCCGTGTACTGGCCTGGGCCCCTGCAGAACCTAGCTTCAGTGCTAGGTTCAACTGTCTTGAGCGCACTTACCGCTATTTTTTCCCTCGTGCTGATTTAGATATTGTAAAGATGAATTATGCAGCTCAGAAGTATGTTGGTACCCATGATTTCAGGAACTTGTGTAAAATGGATGTAGCAAATGGAGTGATTAATTTTCAGAGGACTATTCTGTCTGCTGAAGTGCAGCTAGTGGGGCAGAGCCTAGGTGAGGAGAGATGGCAAGAACCTTTCCAGTTATGTCAGTTTGAAGTGACTGGGCAGGCATTCCTTTATCATCAAGTCCGCTGTATGATGGCTATCCTCTTTCTGATTGGCCAAGGAATGGAGAAGCCAGAAGTTATTGATGAGTTGCTGAATGTAGAGAAAAATCCCCAGAAGCCTCAATATAGGTAAGTTAAACTGAACCAAACCAAACCACTGTCCTCTCCTCCACGGCTGACTGCTATAAGTCATTGATTCTATCTTCATGAAGCTTTTAATATAATTTGCGGAGTGTTGGGAACATGTGGGAAGGGGTGGTATCTTCTAATTTTCTCATTGTTTTTACCACATTAGTAGACATGTTTGGACCAGGCTCTTTAATTAAAAGGACATTCATTCCCACATCTTCTAACTTGAATTTATATTAGCAGCTATTGTTAGCTTCTGGTTAAATTAAAACATGAATATTCAAACTTTATATTAAATCTTCCTTGTTTTGTATTACTAAATAACCATATATTACTGTACTTTGGAGTTTTTCCAAATTTCCCACTTTTAAAATGGTAGGAAAGGCAGAAAATAGATTTTTCTTTTGAGAACAGGATGAGGTCACATAGATACCATTAACCACTTAATGGTTTAAGTGTGACTCAGGCAGTGCATTTATGTACTGACTATTCCAAACGTTGCTTGGGCAGGTGTCATTTCAACCAGTTGATTCTTGCATGATGTAACACTTGCATGTCTGTTTGTTTATATTGAATATTTTTGCATTTTTTAAAAATTTAGAACGTTGTATTAGCCTTGATTTGATTTCTAGTGAAATCTAATAAGTTGCGGTTATTTTATTTTACTAATTCATGTTTATTTGTGAAAAATAATCTATATGTTTACCCTACGATCTATAATGTAGTTATTGTATGTACATTAGATAAATTTTTTTTTTTTTTTTTTTGGTTTTGGTTTTGGTTTTTCTCCGGTACCGGGAACCGAACTCACGACCTTGCGCTTGCCAGGCAGGCGCTTTTGCCGCTGAGCTAAATCCCCAGCGCCTTAGATAAAATTTTTATACTTCTCCAGAACTCAGTGATATTCTTTTGCTATACAAACAGACACATTTGGAATACTTAGACTGGATAGGAAGGAAGTTCCAAAAGATCTACAAAAGAAAAAAACTGAAAAAAGGAGAAATAGTAGCATATCGAGAGGAAAAAGCCTCTTATAAAATGGAAAGACAGAAAAAAAAACCCTTTCTTTATTGTCAACTATTCATATTACAGGAATGATAGAACTGTGGGTGGTATTCACAGAGTTGATCATAATCTAACAAGCTATCAAAAACAGAGGGAAAAAATATTATAAACTGTTTATGTACCTTCTGGACCAAACAATATGGAACGTGTTTGTTATTTATTCAAAACAAGGGGTTCAAAAACTCATTTATAATTTAGATTAGGTCTAAACTAGATCTAATAGATGAAATAATTGAAAAATAAGAGATAATAAAATGCCAACCAGGATGTCCATCATTGATGCCTCCTTCATCATTATGTTTAATGGGTAGATATTTTATAGAAATTATACTACCCACAGGAAAAAAAGGAAAGGCCAACAAAACAGTGTAAAGTGTATTGTTTAAAGATAGTAATGCAAAAAGAATTTGGAAAGAGACTAGATACTACTGGCCAGATTGTAACACTGCATTGTGTATTGAATGTTTTAAGATATACCATACACAAAAATGACTGAATAAATTTGATAAAATTGTTGGTTTTATATTTCCTATTATCTTAGAAAAATTAATGAAAATACACGCAATTTTTAGTCATCCTATATTTAAATAATTGGACTGGTAAGTGGCTAATTCATTCCCAATCTAAGAGAGTGCCACCAATAAAGTTGGATAATTACTAGTAACTGTTTTAAATTTTATAGCAGTGTGATAGACATGTCAAGTCACTTCCAGGTGATTTGTTACCACTGATATTTACTTAACATAGGTTATATTAAAAAAATACAAAGTCGTTCAAAGTTAAACTTAGTTGTTAGATACTTACTGTTAATATCAGTGGGTTCCCCTTCCCCATCTTTTAACTCAACTAAACCACAGGATTTTATTGGTAGTTACATATTCTTATACTGTTTCTTTTCTCTCTAGCATGGCTGTAGAATTTCCTCTAGTCTTGTATGACTGTAAGTTTGAAAATATCAAGTGGATCTATGATCACGAGGTTCAGGAGTTCAATGTTACTCACCTACAACAACTGTGGGCTAATCATGCTGTCAAAAGTCACATGTTGTATAATATGCTGCAAGGACTGGACTCTGTTGTGTTACCCTATACAACAGGACCGAAGATGGATGGAACAATAGAGTGGAGAAACATTAAACCTTCTGTCATAAAGCAGACCAGTGCCTTTGTAGAAGGAGTGAAAATGCGCAAATATAGGCCCCTCATGGATCGTCCTAAGTGCCAAGGCTTGGAATCCCGGATCCAGCATTTTGTTCATAGAGGACGCATTGAGCACCCACATTTATTCCATAAGGAAGAAACAAAAGCCAAAAGGGATTGTTGCGATACACTGGAAGAAGAGAATACTGTGTTGGACAAACCAAAAAAGAAGGTGTGTGTAGATGGAGAAATTAAAAGCATAATTTAATCATAGCAAATCTATTAGGGTCTAAGAGATAACAACCTACTAGTGTAGGTAGGTAGAAAAGAAATACAAAAAATTTTATTGCAAGAACTTCTGGAATTCTGATGATCTGCTCTCTTTTTTTTAAAACTGTAAGGTCTGATTAAGGAAGTTCTTGCTTAAGAAAGAGACCAAGCTGGGCATGATGGTGATGCCTATCATCCAAGCACTCAGGAGCTTGAGGCAGGAGGACTGCTGTGAGTTCGAGTACAGTGTGGGGTATATAGTGAGTTCAAGGCCAGTCTGAACTGTATAGTGAGACCCTGTCTCATTAAAACCAAAAAAAGAGAAATTGAGACCAAACATTTTCTCATTCCTGTCCAAAGGAGTAAGAGATTAAAATTAAAAAAAAAAGCAAAAAGCAATTATAATTTATGTGTATCTGGAAACATGTGCCTTGTGTTTAAATTCATTAAAACCTGATCCCACAAGGGTCTGCTTCATTTTTATTCTCATCTGAATAATTCCCATAAAAAACTTTGCCTAAGTATCTTACTGTCTAAGACCGAATTTATAAATACGTATTAAATTCAGTTAAGGATTACTGAAATGGGCATAGTGCCAGGTGTGATGTTATCTAGAATTTAAATGAGTTAGACACAGTCCTACCCCTTATGAGACATACAAATCTAGTGCAGATGTAAACAAACTTTTTCTGGAAAGAACTACAGTAAATATTTTAGATTCTGTAAAACACATGATCTGCTGCATATTCTTTTTAGCAGCCATTTAGAAATGTAAAAGTCATTTTTAGCTCATGAGCCATACTGTTTGCCAACCTCTGGACCACCTGTGGTTTAAGGATAGTTATAACCAAAAGGAGATATTTAAGCTACATCTTACAGAACAGCTGGGAATGGGTCAAAAAACAATAAAGCAGAGCATCAGTGTATCATAGGCAAAAGATGCAGTTTCTATAAAGGGTTAGAAGTATAACATATACATTATTCAACTATACCTTACATTGAGTGGCAAAAGCATAGTTTAGGAAAAAAGAGTCACATCTGTAGAGCCTATATTTTCCTTTAAAAGTTTGAATGCTACCTGGAGAGGCCAGTGAAGAAAATTTCAAAGTTAAACTTATATAGCAAAAATAATGCTCTCGGTATACTGTGGATTGGAAATGAGCAAGACTGAGGGCAACGGGACCAAAAAGGAGGCTGTTGGGATAATCAGAGCAATAGATGGTGTTTTGGAGCAGATCTGTAATAAGGGGACTGGATAGAGGTAGATGAATGAGGTTAAGGAAGCAGAAGCAGCCAGACTGTGGTTGTGTGGAGAACCAAAGTAGGGAGGCTTTTAGGATACCTTTTAGATTTCAGACATGAGCACATGAGTAGCTGGTATACTACAGACTGAAAGGAAAATGAGGTGGGCCTTTGCTTGTTCTCAAAGCAAAGTTAATATTTATAAAGAGCTGTATTTATTCAAAAGAGTTCCCAGTTCTTTCATTAGCCTTTGTAACAAGATAAATATTAAAGTAGATTTACTGAGACTTCTGTTTAAGGAATAGTGTTCTTACTGTAGTGTGTGGCCCATGTTTATAATTATTTACTCTTCCTGAGATCCAAAGTTTTATTTACCAACCAACAATCCTGTTTCAGATTCCAAAGATACAAATATAGATTCTATCATCAAACTGCTGTTTTAGTGTAATCACTGAGCATAGTAGAATATCTTAACATTTAAGGACAAACCAGAGTTACTTTTCAGTTTCTTACCTTATTTTAGTGTCTCTTGATTGGCAATAATATTCACATTAAAAACCTAGGGAAAAGTAAGAGAGCTTTAAATCATTCCTCATTTTAAGAAGTCAACTCTAAAGCAATGATATATAGGACAAAAGGCACCAAAAGCTCTGCTCAATGATTCTGTAGAAACAAAGGAGTGTATCAGGGCCTCATACTTTAGGTACAATCCTATCAAGATTGGCTAGTTTATACTATCAAATCCAGAACAGCATTTGGTGACTCCATTTTTGATAGTTACTAGAGAAAAAGGACAAGCATCACAGATGGACCAAATACAAATCTCAAGTATACCTCTGCAAAATCACTTATCAGAGTACAGTGTTTGTACAAATTGCAAAGTCTTCACTATAGTAGGGACTAAGTGTTAGAAGCAAGTGAAGTACAGTTTAGACTTTACTTTGTCCATTTTTTAAAATGGAATTATTTCAGTAGGTTGTCAAGTGAGTTTGTATGTACAAATATTCCTTTGTAGCGACTCTGAGTTAAGAGGATTTTTGACACTAGAGATTTGTAATGGCATGTATATTATAATCAGAGTATTCTTTCCTTTGTGTTTAAATTATGTCAGATTCTCATTTTTTCTCCTTGAACATATGTAACGAGATGTTTGCAAAAAGTAAAATGCAAACTTAAAAAACCCATAGGTCACTGTCAGTTCTTTTTGTTTCTGTAAAAACCGGACACTCTTTCTCTTAGAAACTTTTACATAGCAGCTAAAGTAACTTAGGTCTTATAGATGAAAATGGGTACTGTTAACCAAATTACCTAACAGTATCTTTCTTTTGAAAATCTTAAGTGACCCAGTATCCCAGGTTTGTTCAGTTTCAATTTAAAGGATTTCTAAGGTGGACGGGGGAAATTTTAAATCCAGATAGATGCATAGGTGAGATTCTAAGCATGACAAAGGAGTTACTACAGAGTTACAAGTTTCTATAGCATGGGACAGGTAAACAGTAAAGCATCACAGCATTAAAGCAGCCTATCATGAAAGCAAACACTATAATCAAGGTAAAAGAAACTGGAGGACTTATAATACGTTTAAAACATTAATTCAGATTACTCTTAGAAAGTCATTGAAAAGGGCACATCTATAATCCCAACACTCTGGGAAGCTGAGAAAGGAAAACCCCAAGTTTAAATCTTACCTGAGTAATTTAGCTAAATGTACAAAATAAAAAAGGGTGGGATGTAGCTCAATGCAAAGGCCTTGGGTTCAATCCCCAGTACTGGGGGTAAAAGGCATCTTTAATACTATGTAAGTTGGGGTAATGAATTTTTCTAGAGGAGTTTTGTCATTTTGATTTAGAATTTAAATTGTGCCGTACTTTTAAAGCCACAATCCACTTCAAGGAATTTATTATGAGGAGTTAACAACATTGGACAAGAATGCAGACATATACAAATAACCACTAACATTTTAGGATCAAGATGAAATTGGAAAAAACGTAAATACCCATCATTAGGGGATTGGTTAAATGATGTATGGTACAATACAGCCATAGCAAGAAGTAGCATACAGTCATTAAGAAATGCTAATCCACATCTACGTTTGACACAGAAACATGTCTCAAAGTATTCCTCGCTGAAAAAGGCATTAATCTTTTTTTTAAACTAACAACTTTATTACATTAAAATATCCAATTAGTACTAGTACGTTTTGTAAGGATATTCATTTAAATAATGTATATACTTATAGTGAATATACCTTAAGGAAACCCAAATATGAACAGTGTTTTATTTGATGGTTATTTACGGATGGTGGACTTGCAAGTATTTTTTCTCCTCTAATGTACTTAGTATTATCGCTTGGATTTTTTTTTTAATACAGCAAAAAAGAAAAAAAAAAGCGCGCACAAATGCCTGCTTGTCCAATATATCTCTTTAGAATAAATTTCTAGGAGGGGAAATGGCTTAGGAATTATGGTACAATTTAAACTGTAATGCAAAATACAAACTAGAAAAACTGATTCCCTAACAGAGTATAAAGGTGCTTACTTCATCAGACTGTCAGCAGCACTGAGTATTGAAAAATCTTACCAGTCTAAAAGGTATAGCCTGCTGTGATGGCACATGCCTGTAATCCCTGCACTCTAGGAGGCTGAAGCAGGATGATCGCAGGTTGGAGCCCAATTTAGCAGCAATTTAGCGAGACTTTATCTAAAGACTGTAAAACATAAATAAAAAGGACCGAGGATGTAGCTCAAGTGTGAAGGTTCTATGTTCGATCCCCTGTACTTCAAAACCAAAACAAAACCCTGTAATTTTTTTTACTTGCTTTAACTACGCTGTATAATTTTATAACTAAGAAGTCTTATGTTCACTTCGGGGTAGGACCACCCAGAGTCATTCCATTTTACCTTCGCCCCAGTAGGCAAACGCGTCTCTCTCGGTTACACTCAGTGGAGCCGGAAGGGGAGAAGGCTTTGCTCCCCCTTGGAGCAAACACCACCCGGCGGCGGGCTCCTCCCTGGGGACCGCGCCTCGAGGGGCCGCGGGCGCTCTCAGCCGCGGTGGGGGAGGGCCGCGCCGGCAGCGGCACCCACTGTGACCTCGGGCGGCGGCGGCACAGTGGGCTCACACGCGTCAGGAAAGCGCTACTGTGTCCGACTCACCGCGAGGCGAGTGTGACGGAGCCTGGACTCTAGGGAGGGAAGCCGCAGTTCTGTACGACCCCTTCCCTCTCCGCACCCGCCTCCCCGGCCTCCGCCCACCTCACCGACTCGCCGCAGTCCTCTCGCCGCCCGGAGTCCCGCAGCCCCTCGAGTAGAGCGAGCGCCGCGAATCTGAGTTAGCGCGACACACTCGCGCAGGCGCACATCCAGCCCCAGCGCTCACCGGCCGTTAACCGGCTGGCCGCAGAGGTTTAAACCCCGGGACTCGGCCCCGCCCATCATCTCTCTTATTGGTCCTGGGGCTGAACGTCCTTCCCTGCTGCATTTTGATTGGCGCATATTTTCCTTCCCGCGAGGAAGCCCGGGATTTAGGGCATAGGGTTGGAGGTATCCAGACCCGCCTCGCTGAGGCGCGTAATCTGTGCCGTTGCTGTGTTGCCCCCTGGAGTGTTAAGAATGGTGGTGAGGTTGGATCTGGGGAGGGAGGAGTGGACTCGCGGTCCTTGGTTGACGGCGAAGTAGCTAGGTTTTGGGGGACGTGGATTTAATGTCAGGCCACAACAGCGGGCTTAGTCTCCGCCCTCGCCAACTCCGGGCGGGCCAGCGGGGCCTGGGTATCTGCAAGCTTCTGTGGGAGGGCGCGGCGCTCTGAGTCCTTTCCTTCCCACAGCTGTGGAGGCGCCCTGTGCTCCTGCCTCTTCACTGCTCCGGCCGCTGACTGCTTTACAGTTTTTCTCCGGAGTGCTCTCCATTATCCCCTTCACATGATCTTACTCTCCAAAACAGTACAATATATAAAATGGCTGACATTTAAAAAAATCATTATTTTGTATATGTACCTGCTTAAAAATGGCCCAGTGCTTTGGGGATTTCTGGGATGAGATCTGGAAGAGAAGAGGTTCCTCAGTTCAATATTCTAGTCACTGCCATGCATCTCATCTAACAATTTGTTTTCCAAGGCCTTGCGGTTCTCACGTTCAATTTACACTATTTCTTAAATCCAGGATTCAGTGGGAGGAGAAAATAATCTTCCTCCAAACGCTTTATATTACTTCTTATCCCCTACCCCAGTCCCTTCTCTCAGGGCCTCGGCACTACCTCTAAGGCTCTTCAGATTTGTTGAGAAAGAAAGTAGAGTAAACAGAATAAGAGAGAAAATGACAGAAACGTGCTGTGGAGATTTAAATGTCCCTACCGTTCTATTTTCAACACCGTAATCCTATTTTAGTGCATGCGTTTTTTCCCATGTTCAGGTTTGGTCATCCCACACCTGCTTGAGTTTTTCTTTAGCATTCAATCTCCAGTCCATACGTTTTAGAAGAGTAGATGGGCTCATTCTCTACCTAGTGCTTGGACCTTCAGCGTACACCTTATGCCCCTCCCTCATTACTTTCTTATTATCCTTTAGGTTAAATTTTGATTTTTGAATTTGCCTAACTCTGATCCCCATGGCTTCCTGAAATCCACTGAATCAAAGCCATCTAAAGTGTAGTAAATGAAGAATATTCCAATCTTGCAAACCCAATCTCATCTTTAACAACAACAACAACAAAAGATAGTATGGAAATCTCAAACATTAAAAAGAAATGGGATATAGTGAAGTCCAGTGAGCTCAATATCCAGCTCTAGGGATTGTTAACTCATGGCCAGTCTTGTTGCCTTTACCTTATTGCCCACATACCTTCTCTTGTAATATTGTTTTGAAGCAAATAACAGGCATCTGAAATAAATATTTCAGTATAATCTCTGTAAAGATATTTTAAAAGTGTAACAACACTATTTTTACACCTAAAGTATTTAATGTATGTAATATCAAATCTCCAGTTTCACTTTCTTATTTTTCTCTTTTTTAGTTTGCATCTTTGAACCAGTGTCTAATCAAACCCACACATTATGATTGGTTGGTATTTCTTTTAAATTTCTTTTAGTCTATAAGTTCCTCCTCCATTTTCCCTTTGCAGTTTATTTGTTGAAAGAACCAGGTTGTTGGTTGGCTCAAGTTTCCCATAATCTGGATTTTGCTAATTACATCCAAGTGGTGTAGTTTAACATGGCTTCTTTGCCTTATAATTACACCCCAGCACTCTTCCATATGCTCTCCTTAATTAGGTATAATTGGCTTATTAGCATCCTTATAGGTTCAAATACTACTTTCAGCTGGTTATATGGTCATATTTAAATAGACCACTCCTTTGTGATATCTTTGTTTACCTCATCCTTTTGTTCAAACTCCCTCAACTGTAGTTCTTTCTGGTCTGGCCAATTATATCATGTTTCTAACATTTTCATTTCTTCCCTGTTTTAGTCTTCCCAGGACTGCGGGAACAACAGTAGTGACATAAAGAATAGCACAGGGAAGATAAGCCACATATACTGGACATTGCTGCCTCCTTTACCAGCCTTTTTGTGCATCCTCTCTTTCCTAATCTCATTGCTCAGGGGCTCAAGTCCTAGCATTCTGAAGTCTATGTTATCAGTATATTAAAACTATGCTTTCAAGATAACTAGTGATCTTATTAGTCAATGCCAGTTGTCTTGCTTAGTCCTAAAAGGAATATTTGATAATTTATTATTTTTTACAATTTTAAATGTTTATTGAAAAGCAGCTATACTTCCACTCCATGGTAACACATGAAAACAAAACACATTGATTACAAGAGTATTAAAATATAAAATAGTGATAATTTATTTAATAAATATTTATTGAATACCCATGTTAGGTACTGTGGTATATCTTGATTTGCTCATGAATTTAAAAAGACACAGTCTCTGCCCTTACGAATTTTCTTGTTAGATAGGAAAAATTGACATTGATCAATACAAATTATTGTAAAATTACAGCATAGTCAGTCAGTGCTAAGAAGGCAAATTTTGAATAATGGAAGAACTTGGCATAGTGTCACTGCACCAAGAACTGAAGGATAAGTAGGTGAAAGGGTGTAAAAGGTAGAGGGGGGAAAAGCATATGTAGAGGTGTGTGAGGGTGAAAGCTTAGAAGTTTTAGGATATTGAAAGGGGATATTTAAAAAGATAGGTAGAGGTGAGACTGAGAAGTACACAGGGACCAAATCATGCAGGTTATGTAGGTCAATGTGAGGGATTTGGTCTTTACCGTAAAAGCTAAGGAAACAAGTATTTTAAGCAAGATTTAGGTGTGTAATGTGACATGTTCAGGTCTGCATTTGAAATTGTTGTAATGAGAATGGATTTGAGAAGGTCAAGATTGTATGTAAAGTCCAAATGGGAGATAGTTGTATATTCCAGATGGAAGATGGTGGTAGCTTAGGCTAGGATGGTAATGGCCAGAGATGTCAAAATGGGACAGATACATATATATATATTTATATATATTTATATTTATATATTTTTATATATTTATTTATATAAATATTTATATATATTTATATTTTGTGGCTGAAACATATAATGTTTTTTAATAGTTTTGTCTTTTAACTCATAGTAGGGTTAAAATGGCATACCATTTTTACAGTTTCAGAAAATTCTGAGCAGACTATGTGTATCAGTTAGGGTTTATTAGAGAAATAGGTAAAACACAACATATATAAATGTAGTAAACAACCCAGGTGCCCATCCACTGAGGAATAGATTTAAAAAGTTGTGGTATTTTTATCCAATGGAGTATTACTCTGCTATTAAAAAAGATAAACTCAAGACTTTTGTAGGTGAATGGATGCAACTAGAGACCATACTCAAGGCTTTTGTAGGTAAATGGATGCAACTTGATTAGACACTGGTTCACTAGCTAAAGTGAAATAAATTGGACCCACATATGTAAACATCATATTGTTTCCTTGGTGTAGGAACCTGAAAGACTAGGTAAAACTCAGCAGCACAGCGTCTACCTGGCAAGCACGAGGTTGTGAGTCCAATTCCCGGTACCGGAAAACAAAAAACAAAACAAAAAAACAAAACAAAGCGTACAATAGATGATAGGAAAGGGAAAGAAATTGCTCAAGGAAGGAATGACTGGGATGAGGGAAAAAATAAAAAAGAAAGAATGCAAAATATAAATATATATGAATAGCTACAATGACTATATTGCTGATGTCTGATGGTGTATTGAAATGAACAGTTAATGCTTACAATTTTTTGTGTTCTGATCGACTTTGCATGCTTGTATCTGGTGGTCTGAGCAACTGATTTGAAGGTAACAATATGCAATGGAAATACAATGGTGAACTCCTGCCATCTTGTCTAGTGAAACTCTGTGTTATCTCTAATGTTTTATTGAAGAATTATTTTCTTATTCTCTTTAGTGGTTTGAGCAATCTTTCATTCTTACATCTGGTAATCTGAGAAATGTAGTGGAGGATAGCAATGTGTAATGTAACAACCATAGCAATATGTAATGTAGCAATATGTAATGTAACAACCAACCAGATAGAACTTTATCACTGTTGATTCGTATTATTTTGTTTTGAGACCCTGTATCACTTTGAATATTCTTGCTTTGATTTGTTTATGTTCGTGATACTGGTATGCTGCTACTGTTCTATTTTTTTGTTTGTTTCTCATTTACTACTCTCTTTAAAATAAAAAAAATATAAATGTATAAGAAATTATAAGTTTGTCTTTTTTTGTTTGTTTTTGTTTTTGTAGTTTTTTTTCCGGTACCGGGAATCGAACTCACGACCTTGCGCTTGCCAGGTAGGCGCTTTGCCACTGAGCTAAATCCCCAGCCCCCTAAGTTTGTCTTATAATGGTCAGCCACAGAGTTGAATGAGGAAGCATGCAGAGGGTGTCTGCACTCTGGATATTGAAGAGCCAGCCCTGGGCCTGGAGCTCACTGTAGTGTCTGTATCAAAGGGCTGATGGGTGTTTGACAGAATGTTGAAGAATCTATGACGAAGGCCAGAGATCTTATACCAGAAGGCTGAGGAGTCTCAGGCAGAAGCTGAACAGTCTGTACCAGAAGCCAGAGGACGACCGAGCTGAAGGTGAAGACTGATTATATATATAATTCATTGGCTGAAACCTATAATATTTTTAATAGTTAGCCTTTTGTTTCATTTTAAAGAACTCCCTTTATCAATTCTTATAAGCCAGACCTGCTGGTGATGAACTCTCTTTTTACATAAAGCATTCTTAGCTGGTACTTTATTCTATCAATGCTTTGATTGTATTATCTCACTCCTACTCTGAAAATTTTCTGCTGTGAAATCTGAAAGCCATATTAAGTCTCTCTTAAATGTGATATTTTGTATTTTTGTTCTAGATTTTTGAAAATTTGATTATGATATGTCTTCATGAGCTCCTCTTTGGGTGGAATTTGATTGGTAATCTTAGAACGTCTATAATCTGCATTTGTCATCTCTACCCAGATTTTGGAAATTTTCAGTCATTTCCTTAAATACATTTCTAGGTCATTTTCTCTCCTTTAAGAATTCCTGTTGTGCAAATGATAGTTTGCAGAAGTGTGTCACACAACTTCCCTTGGCCTTTTGTATTCTTTATCATCCTTCTTTTAGTTTCTCTGACTGGATAATTTCAAATATCCTGCCTTTGAGCTCACTTTTTTCTGAATTCTTTGCCAGTTGTTTTACAGATTGCTGTTTCATCCTGGCCAATTATTAGAACTTTATCAGTTTCTTTTAATGGAGTCATATTTCCCAATATTTCATAGTCCTTGCATACTTACATTGATGCCTATTTGAGAAAATGGCCACCTTTTCTGGTCTCTGCACATGCTCTTTGGAGGTGATAGAGCTTTTTTATCTAGTCCAGTCTGGGATTCAGGATGGCTGGCTGGTAGCAACCCAAAACAAAGAGAGCTTGGTGTTGATTTCTTTAGTTTAGTTGGGCCATTTTCTTGGCTTTGAGGCCAAATGATAGTGCTTCATTGTGCTCTGTGGTCTGGTGTTACCACTGGCTGGATTTGCCACCATACAGAGTTGCCAGCTAGGCTGTGTGATCAGTTTTGATCTGGTGGGGTTGTAAGTTGTCTTCTTTGGCTGGGAAGTACTGTTGTTCAAAATTGGTAGTTGGTAGGGCCATGTGCTAGAGTTTGAGGCTGGGTGAGGTTTGTGGGTTGGTTCTTGGCCACATTATATGGGCTCCCCCAGATATGCATGGACTTAGACTTGCCTCAGCTTATAGTAGGCTTAAGTAGAGCACAGAGGCTTGGTTGATTGGCTACTCAGCATCTGTGGTTTCGTGGTGGCCTAGCCTCCCTGGCTAATTACTGACCTACAGATGTCATCTGTCCTGGGAAAGACCTTTAAATGTGGTTTTTTTCTGTTCTGTGGTGCAAGGGGTATTTTAACCTTACTCCTGAGTTCTGGGATATTCACAAAGGTGTTGTTGCTTTTGGATAGTTGCTAGAGTCTGGAGAACTCCTATTATACTGTCTTGGTGATGTCACTTGTCATGGCTGGGTGCCTGGAGAGGTACCTTTGCAGGTGAGATCCCCAAGGAAAAGAACACATGTGAGGCAGATGTCAGTTCAAAGGCAGGTAGCAGCAAGAAAGAACAGCTGTGTCTGTATATATGCCATTATATATATGCCATTATAACAGCTGCTTATACATGCCATTATCACTTACATTCCTCTCTGCTGGGCTAACCAGCACATGCATAGTTTGCAACAGCTAAGTCAAGGTTACATAAACATATCCTGATCTGCGCCTGCACTACACAGTGGGTTCGTGTCCTTAACATGTCCTCAGATGACCTGAGACCCAAACTTTGAAGCCACAGCATGCCCCACATCCTGCTCCCTCAAAGGTCAGGGGACATTTGTCACTTAAGAGTGGCCCATAGAACTGACCCCTGTGCACAGGGACCACAACAATGCAGGGAAGAATAGAACATTACCAACCCATTGTCACCACAGCACAGCTTGTGGCTATCCAGCACCAGGTGGACCCCCAAAGATTCCCACCACTGGGTGAGGGGGTCATGCTGTAAAGCATGGGTGGTAGAAACCTCTATATCTGTTTCCTGAAGGACTTCTTACACTTGCATCTGGTGGTTGGGTAAAAGCACAACATGCCACTTGCAAGAGGGCACAAGTGCCTCTATGCACTGCAGTCAGCAAATTGAGAGCCATGTGGTTTTGCAAAACTATTTCATTTGAGATGTCTCATCCATGAGCAACGTCAAAGCCTGCCATGTAACACTCGGGGCCTGGGCCATATGCTGAGCAAGGGCTTCAAACTTGAAGGGCTAGGTCTATGGTCCCTGCCCCTTGCAACATCAAGGCCGTTGGATAAAACCACCAGGCCACCCTAGTATGGTGCCACCTGTGATATGCAGCATCCCAATTGTAGGGTGTGTCTGTAAGGGTGGGTGTGATAGTACCCTTGACATATGGAACTCCCCAGGTGCACTGTCCTGTCCATTGTACAGGTAGGTATGGCCACCCTGTGTTGCCACAAACCCAGAAGGCTTCTGCAATGGGCCAGTCAGTAGGCACTGTACTAATGAGCTTCTGGATGTCCTACCATTTGTTTGTGTCAGTAATCAGCAATGTATGGTTACAGAGGTCAGAGGGCATCACCCCACAGTTCAGTTTCCCACTGACACATTCACCTGCTGAATACAAAGCAGGGCTATATACAGCAATGTTACTGGAGTGCCCATCATCCATCCCCAGCCATTGTACATAGCATGTCCCAGTCACTGTAGGTTGGTTGTGCTCTTCCAGATCAGTGCCTCTGAGACCTGGTGTCACTGATACCAGCCAGAGCCAGCCCAGTTTTGTTATTAGCCTTTAGTCCAGTTGAGCGGGGACACTGACACAATTCTCCATAAGTGGGCCTCAGCTACTTCAGTCAGGAGTTCAATATGCACGCAACAATATGCTTGTTGGTGTACCCAGAAAATGTGTGTACCCTGGAGAAAATGCTGTTGACATCCTAATCAGAAGGACAGGGCAGGGACTCCTACCTTTCCAGGAGGATGCAGGTCTCATGTTCATCTTGTGATAGGATTGTAGCTAGAATTACCTTACCCCCTGGCTTAGAATATCACACCTGGGTTCCCACTGCCAGTGAGAGTAAGGGAGCTAGAGCTAGGTCCACCACCCCCAGGGGAATGGGCCAAGCAGCCACAATGTCACTCCTTTTCAGAATGGTGACTCCAGCATCAGGCAGAGAGCACACCGAGGCCTTTTAGGGCCATGTTGAAGTCCAGCGCTATTCTATAGCATGTTTCAGTCCCTCCCCCTGGGTCTCTGAGAGCAACACCCAGTTCCCTATTAGGGGGTCTGTGGGCAATCCCAAGTCTATTGGTAACAGCCTCCTGGCCTTATTGGTTCCAATACAGGGTGGATTAAGTCCCCTTGTATTACCTTA